TGAAAGGAAAATGCTGACATGATGGCCCATCACCTATGGAATACTTTCATATGCATTTCGTATTAGGACATTCTCTGATATAACACAACCATCAAAACCAGAAAATTAACACTGATACCTCATTACTATCTGTTACAGATTGAACTGTGTTTCCTAAAAAAGATATGCTTCTGTACCAGCACCTCAGAATGCAGTTTTATTTGGGAATGAGGTCATTGCAAATAAAATTGGTTAAGATGAGGTCATGTTGGAGTAGAATGGAACCCCAATCCAATATGGTATCCTTATAAGAAGACAGCCATGTGAAGACACAGAGACACAGGGAGAATGCCATGTGAAGATGGAAACAGATTAAAATGATGCCTTTAAAGCCAAGAAACCCCAAGGATTGCTGGCCGTCACCAGCAAGTAGAAGAGAGGCATGAATTCTCCCTCAGAAAGAATCGATTCTGCTGACATCTTGATCTTGCACTTCTAGCCTCTACAACTATGGGATATTAAACTTCTGTTGTTTTAAGTCACCCAGTTTGTGTTACTTTGTTATGGCAGCCCTAAGAAACTAATAAACCATCTAATTTTCAAATCCCATTCAAGATTCACCAATTGTCCTAATAATGTGCTTTCTAGCAAAAGCATCTAGTTCAGGTTCACATGTTGTATTTAGTTGGCATGTCCCTTCAGTCTATCAGTCTGAACAGTTCCTCAGTCTTTCCTGGACTTTCACAGTCTTCACCTGTGAAGATTAAGGGTTATTTTACAGAATGTCTCTTGATTTGGGTTTGTCTATTATTTCCTTGTGTTTAGATTCAGATTATGCATTTGTGGCAGAAATATCACGGAAGAGACATCATGTTCCTCTTAATGTATCATTATCAGGTAGCACACAATTTTGATTCCTGCCATTACTGAAGACATACAATTTCATCACTTGATTAAAACGGTGCCTGCCAGGCTTCTCCTGGCAAGTCGGTCACTATATCCTTTTGACATGTCTCCATCCATTTTGCAATCTTCCCTCTTTCTGGGGTAACAATATGTTCCATTCTCATCTTGTACTTTCTCTGCCCCAGACCCAGAATCAGGAATGTCTGATTTTTCTGATTCAACTGCCAGCAGGATTCATTCTAGTTTCTTCCCATTCCACACCTAAAATTCCTTCTTAGATAGTAAGAAACCCAGGTCTCTCATCATTCTTAACAGAACTGTTTCTTTAATTAGTCCCCCTGTGTGTGTCATCAATCTTCCATCTCTGCCACCACTCCCGCCCTCCACTCTGTCCCCCGGCATGTATGGCCTTATCCTACTCACGGTCTAATGCCCCACACTGAGCCCACCCCACCCTCTAACAACCCTCTATGTAGGTGTCCTTCGCTCCTTGGCTCCATGTCACCACGCACAAGCTCTAACAACCTGTGCTGGACTACCCACTCCACTTTTGTGTATATTCTCTTTTTACCATATTTGGGCTCTGATTCCCCACACTAGGCCATTCTACCCCTCAGCCCATCATGTGGACTACTTCTTTCCTCTGCTTGGGCTCTGATACACCAGGTTATTCCTCTATGGGGATGCCCTCCTCACCTCACTCAGGTTCTCATTTCCTATGTTAGGCTGTCCCCCATGTGTGGATGGGTGCTTCCTGGGGTTTGATATCTCCTGCCATGCCAAAGAGATACCCTCCTCACTACACCCAGGATCTGATTCTCCTTGCTGGATTCTACCCTCTACCTCCCATGTAGACATTTTCCTCACCTCATTTGGGCTCTGACACCTCAAACCAAGTCACCTTCTATCCCACGAATGCCCTCACACTGTTTGGGCTCTGACTCTTCTTGATGAGTACCTCCAATGCTGGGGCTGGGACACCCCATGCCAGGCCATCCCTCTGTGGAGGCCCTCCACACCGTCCTCTGTGTGGATGTCTTTTTTACGTGACTTGGGCTTTGTCTACTAAGGACCACCTCCATCGTGTGAATGGTCTGACTCTACTGGGGCTCTGACAACACATGTCAGGCTACCCTTCCACACAGATGACCTCCTCATTCTCAGCTCTGACTCCCTACATCAGGTTGCCTTCACCTGTAGGTACTCTCACTTTATTCTGGCACTGATTCCCTATGCTGGACTGCTTCACTGTATTGATGACTTCTTTATCCTGCTGAGATTCTTACATCCCACACCAGGCCACCCCTTCTTGATGATACGCTCATCAGCCTGCTTAGACTCTGAGTCCCTATATCACGACACTTTGCTGTGTGAATTCTCTCCTCACTCTGGGCTCTAACTCTCTGCACTTGACTGTTCTCATATGGATGAACTCTTCACTCAATTTAGGCTCTGACACCCCACTTGGGCACTGCAGCTCATCTCTGCCACTCCTATCAATGCAGTGCTGCTGAAAACTAAATATATTTCCCCCAAAATTCATATGTTGAAATCCTAACCCCAATGTGACGGTATTAGGAAATAGGGTCATTGGGAGGTGATGAAATCATGAGAGTGGAGCCCTCATAAATGGGATCAGGCACCCTCACAAATGGGATTAAGCCAAATGTTTATTAATTTACACTGGAAATAATCCCAGTTTTTTAGGTTTCATTACAGAGGTTTTCTTTTATTGGTCTAGTGACTGTGAAGAGAAAAGTTTTCCTAACCTGATGGCCAAGGATACTAATTTATTCTGAGCTTCACTGGCATATGATTTTTCTCCCTTAAGGCTTTCTTCTTTGTTATCTGTTGCCTCCACACTGAATTCTACTCTTACCTTTTACCTAGCTCTAGAACTAGTACAGGAAGATGTCTGTTACATAACAAAAACTAGTGATAGCAAAGGGGAAGAAAAGGAGAAGATGAGCTCCCAGTAGTCCTTAGTCTTTTCTTGTCCTGTCTTCTCTTGCTTGGAGCGAGAGCATGATGGTCTTTAGAAAAACTTCACCCCATGCCCTCATTCACTATCAGTCCTTCCACATTCATCCTGTCTTTTAATTTTGAAAAACAAAAACATGAAAAGGGGAAAGCTTTTTACCTTCTTTACGGTTCCCCTTTTTCTATCCTGTGTTTTTAAAAACTCTGCCCAGTAATTTTAAAACAAAGAGTCCACTCTTATAATCTGTCATACAGAGAGGAGTCTCGCTTTTCTACTGAAGCAAAGAAATTTATCTCTGCATAAAAGTATCTTCACACGGTAGTCAGTTCCTACTATTAAGAGACTATTGGGGTGCCTGGGTGCTCAGTTGGTTGAGTGTCTGACTTAGGCTCAGGTCATGATCTTGTGGTTTGCAAGTTTGAGCCCTATGTCGGGCTCTGTGCTGATAGCTCAGAGCCTGGAGCCTGCTTCCAATTCTGTGTCTCCCACTCTCTCTCTCTCCCCTTCCCCTGTTCATGCTCTGTCTCTCAATAATAAATAAACGTTAAAAAAAATAATAAAAAAAAAAGACTATTAATACTACAGGCACATTATAAATTAAATAGGCTATTCGGGTCCTGCCAGTCTTTACCTGCCAGTTAGGATTTCATAAAAATAATTCTATTTTTTTGGGGCGCCTGGGTGGCGCAGTCGGTTAAGCGTCCGACTTCAGCCAGGTCACGATCTCGCGGTCCGGGAGTTCGAGCCCCGCGTCGGGCTCTGGGCTGATGGCTCAGAGCCTGGAGCCTGTTTCCGATTCTGTGTCTCCCTCTCTCTCTGCCCCTCCCCCGTTCATGCTCTGTCTCTCTCTGTCCCAAAAATAAATAAACGTTGAAAAAAAAAATTAAAAAAAAAAAATTCTATTTTTATACTGGCTAACTCTTAGAATGTAAGTTTCTAACAGAGCTATGTCTTAGGTTTATTTGTACATTTCTTAAACTTGTTTTCAATAAATATTGTTTATGATGGAAGCATTTTAACTAATACAACATCTTTTCAAACACATCTGCAAATGAGGATACTCATTACCATTATAGTGTGACTTAAAATACAAAAACTGCTAAACACAGTTAGATAACCAGACTTTGAATTTTAAATAACTTTTATTTATTTATTTATTTTTAATGTTTATTTTATTTTGAGAGACAGAGCACAAGCAGGGGAGGAGCAGAGAGATGGAGAGAGAGAGAGAATTTCAAGCAGGCTCTGCACTGCCAGCACAGAGCCTGAATGCAGTACTTGAACTCACAAACCATAAGATCATGACCTGAGCCAAAATCAGGAGTTGGATGCTTAACCATTTGAGCCACCCAGGCACCCCAAGTAACTTCTATTTTAAAAGTTAATTTATAACTATAATTTGTGAATTTCCTTCCTTACAAAATCAATTAAACTGCAATGTGCTGATAGAGATTAAATGACATGCAAAAGTTCTATATAGCTAGTAAGTTAGCAGAGTTGGGATTTAAACCCAGGTTCTCTGATACCAAAGTCAGTGATCTTTTTACTGCTCTTCTCTTTAGAGTGGTGGTTCTTCTGTATGCCTCCCCTGGAACACATGGTAATATCTGGAGACGTTTTAGTTTGTCATAAATGTGGTGTGTGGCAGGGTGGCTAGTGACTTTACAAAAAAAATTCTTTTAAAGATAAGATCTGAACTTGGTATTGAAGCATTGGTAGGATTTGGATAGGCTAGAGATGGTGGAGATAAGGGCGGATTCTAGATAAGAATAGTACAGAAAATACAAGACAGGTTCAAGAAGACAATGAATAAGCCAACTTAGCAAGATAAAGGGAAACAATATTAAAGGGAAAGGGAAAGCAACACTAGAAACATGAAATAATCTTTTAGAAAGACTAATAAGGAACTTGAACTGGGTTCAATGAAGATTTTTGAGAAGGGGAATGTAAGACTAATCAAGAAACCAGGGAAAAGAGACTGATTAGGATACTACTGCAATACCATAAGGTATTCAGAGTTTGTGAGCTGGTGTGGTAGTGGTAGTGAGAAAGAAAAGAAGAAACCATAAACATATACACCTTTATGTATTATAAATTTCTGTCATCTCAAATGATAACAAATTACCATTCTTACCTGTAATACATTGAAACTGTCCATCTTCTCTTCTTATTGTAAATGCTTCCCCTGGGTTAACTTGTACCAGAATAACCTTTAAATGAGGGAAAGAAGTATTAATCAGAACAAAATAATCAAATAATAGAGCAAATAATAACAATCAAGATTATATATAAAACAGTATTACATATTTGCCAGGACAGTAGATGTGAGCTATTTAACCTTATGACACTGGGAAGGAAAATGGGATTACACATTTTACACATTTGTTAAAGTATTACTTCAGTTTTCTGGAGATTTAAGCCAAAAGTAAGGGAATAAACAAATACAGTGGCACACTTTTATTGGAAAGGCAATAAACTTTACTCTGAAACACAGATGGAGTCAAACCACAGAATATTTGGCTCATCTATCCTTAGTTCATTAGTTGCTAAGTATTTCATTTTTTAAAAGATAAAGTATAAAGTGATAAGCAGAGCTTGAGATGAGCATACTTGACTTAGTAGGACATCTCAAGTTATATTTTGGAATTTGTTAAATTAATCTCACCTTTTTTTTTTTCATTATAAAGATTATACACCCTAATTTTATGACATTTGAAAAACAGAAAACTGGAAAAAAAAATCTGAAGTCCTTCTATCTTACAATAAACACTGTTAACATTTTGATAAATTTCTTAATCTTGTTCCCTATGCATAGGCTTAGTTTCCCCCCTTAACATACATACATACGTATATACATATTTATATATATGTATATATGTAAGAACTCCAATTTGGTATCTTTTAATGTTTAATATTTTAAAAAGATTTTTCCATGCTATTAACCACTCCAATGACCACGCCATAAACTACTTAACCATTTTCTTAATGTAAGGAATTTGGGTAGCTTTCAATTTTTCCATTATTAAAAAAACAACACTGAAGTGAACATTTTGGTATATAGTTTTCCCCTCTTTAATCCATTTCCGGTTAATTTTTGTGAATGGTGTACAGTATGGGTCTAGTTTCATTCTTTTACATGTGAACATTCCAATTTTCCCAGCATCGTTTATTGAAGAGACCGTCTTTTCTGCACTGAGTATTCTTGGCTTCCTTTTCAAATGTTAGCTGACCATACACGCATAGGTTTATTTATGGGCTTTCAATTCTCTTCCTTTGGTCCTTTCTGTTTTATGCCAGAACTTTTAATTACTATAGCTTTACAATACAACTGGAATTCAGGAAGTATGATGCCTCCTACTTTGTCCTTCTTTTTCAGGATTGTTTCGGATATTCATGGGTCTTTTGTGGTTCCATACAAATTTTAGCAGTGTTTTCTCTACTTCCGTAAAAAAAATTCCATTGGAATTCTGATGGGGATTACCCTGAATCTAAAGATGGCTGTAGATAGTATGGACATTTTAACAATACTAATTCTTCCAATCCATGAACATGGGATACCTTTCCATTTATTTGTGTCTTCTTCGATTTCTTTCATCAAAGTTTTGTAGTTTTCAGTGTAGAGATCTTTCACCTTCTTGGTTAATATTTCAGGCAAAGATTGAAAGACCCTCATTTCAAGGGAAGTAGGTAGGAAGAAAAGTAGGGTGAATGGAAAACAAAATAAATTGTTAGAAATAATCCAAATATATTAATAAAATAAATATAAATGGACTAAGTTTGCCTATTAAAAAGAGTAAATAAATTAGATTAAAAGAAGTTAGAGAGAAAATGCCAAACCTACTATTTTGGTGGTCTATTTTAATACTTTTTCTCAGTGATTAACAGAACAGGTAGATGATAATTATCAAGGATATGGAAGACCTTAACAACACCATTCATAATCTTGATTTGGTGGCCATGTAAAGAATATTACACCTGACAATTAGAAAATATATATTCTTTCCAAGCACATATGGAATTGAAATGAAAATTACAAGAATGGACTATAGAGAACATCATAAATCAAGTGTCACAAATTGCAAAGAATTAATATTGTATGTCCTCTATTTGCAATTAAGTTAGAAATTTAAAAATATATTTGCAAATTTTAAAAAGCTTCAATAATTTGTGGGTTAGGGGAAGAAATCATAATGAAAAATAGTAAATCAACAGCAGTGAAATGTAACAAAAACATTTTAAGTTAAAGCCCTGAAATAAAGGCACAATTGTATTATCAAAAAACACAGGCCTTTAAATACTTAGAACAGATCGAAAATTAGTAAGCACCCAAGTCAATAAGTGAGAAAAGGCGTAGTTAACTCAAAGAAAGTTAAAAAAAAAAAAAAAAAAGGAAACAAAAATAAGAAGAGAAATAATGAATCAGAATAAAAAGAAATGCTGGAGGCTGAGAAAATAGCTTTAACAGAAATCAGAGTGAAGGATAACCAAGAGAAAAAAAAAGCAAGAGGAAAAAGTAGTCAGTCACGTTTTCTGGGCAGGGATTTTTTTCCCCTAAGGAGATTCTTGAACCTTGGGAGATTTTATGCAAGTAGATGGCTTTAAAATGCATTTTATAAAATCTAGGAACTTCTCTCTGTACACAGGTTTTATTTAGGGGGCCTGCTTCTTATTACTCCATTATCTCAAATGTTATCTCTTCAGAAAGGCCTCCTCTGACCATCAAATTCTAGGGTATGTTTATTTATTTATTTTGAGAGAGAGAGAGAGAGAGAGAGAGAGAGAGAGAGAGAATGAGCAAGGGAGGGGCAGAGAGAGAGGAAGAAAGAGGGTCCCAAGCAGGCCCCATGCTGCCAGCACAGAGCCCAACACGGGGCTTGAACTCACAAACTGTGAGACCATGACCTGAGCTGAAACCAAGAGTCAGACACGTAACCAACTGAGTCACCCAAGTGACCCTAGAATCCTACGTCACTTTATATTCATCTGCATAAATGCAGAACAATTTGTCATAACCTTATTATAAACAATAGTACAATGTGATAAGGAGAAAGAAGAGAAGAACAATGAATGATAAACTAGTTATTCTACCTGAGGTTAATTATTGCCACAAAACTGTATAATCATAATGACACAGCTTCTTAACATGTATTATCTAATTTAGTGACCACAGATATCTTATAAACAAAGTAACTCTCAGAAGTGTGACAGGTGAGGAATCCTGATAAATTATCCATCATTTTGTAATGTATGTCATGGATGCCTCTATTTGCAAAATTAGCAAATTTTACAAATAGAGTATCATAAAATGATTAGTACTTCACTGGGCTATAAAAATGAAATTCTTCAGTATCTTCAAATTTCACAAGAACAAATGATTGTGCTCTTAGGTTTGTACTTATCTCAAAGGTACTGCTGGCTTCCAATCCCTAATCCCTTTATGAAATCAGAGTTCAGCCCTGACAGTTTCACTACACTCTTTCTTCCCCAGGTTCTTTCACTTCTTACATCCCTAATAACAGAGCTGTTGCCATGATCAAGACTCCCCTGACACAATATATCAGCCAGCCAGTTCTCTATCATTCTTTAGTGCAAATGTTGGGAACTTCTAATGCCTGGTTTGAGTTAACAGAGTCAACAGTGGGTGAAGAGTTGATAAAAGCAATTATTTGAATGTCCACCAACAGTTCAACTTCTCACATTCTAAAGAGACATGCAGAACTAGTGAACATTTTAAGTGTATTCTAAACTTAAATATTAAATACTACTGATGTTTACGTTACTTAAGTAGTAAACAAACATATGCTTGAAACATGTTTTGGGTAAGATACCTAACCCAAAGGGCAGATTAGCATTGACAATGACTATAGATAATACTATAAATTATTCTCACAAATAGGCTATGATGATACATGGAAATATTTATTCAAAAATGTTATATTAAAACATAACACAAAAAAGATATAATGAAAATGTCACTGATTAAAGGTCTAAATATGCTGAGTATATTCATTAATAAAGCATGTAAAAATCTCTAAGAACATAATAAAAATTTAATGCTCCCTAAACTCTTTGATAGTAAAAAGATACAAAGGCTTAGAGAAGTTATGTAAGACTGACGAAATTTTAAGGGATCAAATATAAAAATATTGGAGTGTCTGGTGGCTCAGTGGGGTAAGGGGGATGACTCTTGATTTTGGCTCAGGTCATGATCTCACAGTTTATGGGATCAAGCCCCGAGTCAGGCTGTGCACTGACAGTTTGGAGCCGGCTTGGGATTCTCTCTCTCTCTCTCTCTCTCTCTCTCTTTGTCCCATCCTCGCTCACACTATCTCTCAAAATAAATAAAAAATAAACTTAAAAAAATAAAAAATAATTTTAAATATAAAATTATTTACTTAGGGAAGGAAGTAAGTTTCAAAAAAAAAAAAAGCAGAATAGCAGAAAAGACATCTCTGGAGTGAGGAAGGAAAGAAAAGGACAAAGGGGCATAGACACCAGAGACTGGAAAGTCTGACATGAATACCTCTAAACAAACCGAGTATACAGTTTTGGAAAAGTTGGAAGCTGAAGGAGACCTGAGATATCATTTAGTTTAAACCAGATTTACTTTTAAAAAGTAAACTAAGAGGTGATCATTAGTATTACTGAAAAAGTTCTTCATTTTACAAAACCATTCAACCAACTGTTCTATTATATAGTAAACTCCCAGTGCATTTACTCAATTTACATCAATTAGCCACTTACAGTGAGGCAAATTCAAATGAACATTTATAATAAAAAATATAGAACTGAGGTACCACCCTGGAATCTGAACTAATGAATAAAAGTGCCAAAATTTATTTATTTATGCTTTGTCTACACAAATAAATTTTATTTAAATGTCAGGAATAATCACTACTTAATAATATCTGTGTATATTCTAAAGGAAAAACAATAGTAAGTGAGCAATATTTTTAAAATACAATCCATATGTATAAATTATATCTTACTATCTTAATTTTCAACTGTTACTAATCACTGCTAGATACAACTTTGAAAATACTATTTTGCATTTCAAAGATAATAAAGAACTCCTTTGTCATCTGTTTCAATTTTACCTAACTGCTGTTGGTCTAAGTTTCTTACATGTAAAATGAGAATAAGAAAGTATCAATCTTATACCTGCTTCACAGCACGATTAAAGAGTATTAGATGAAAAGATGTACACTAG